TCCCCGCCAGCTAGCCCAACACGGCTCGTCTGCTAGACAGGAATAAAAAAGTCGAGCCTAAATGCATAAAAAATTATGATGGAAGCCCTAAATAAGGCCAGGCCCGCATGCTTATTGAGTCAAAAATCAATCAATCAATGAGGAGTGGATTAGCCGCACCTTATAAGCCCCAAAGAAACGATTTGCCCAAACACTGGGATTTAACAGCGGAGGACCAGATTCCAACACTTTTAGGAAGTAAATAATGAAAAATCAATTTAAAGAAAAAACAGATCAAGAACCCTGGACTCTGACACGCGGACACATTTACTGCCGAGTGCCGTCTCTCGGCTGACCCGAAAACTTCGGAAGGTGTTTATTTACTTCCAGCACCTTCCAGAGATCAATATTTTTAATTTGGACCCAAGTTATTATTTTTCACATCACAGCAGCGGGGAGCAGAGTAAAGTGGCTCATATTTTAGTGCTAAAAAGATCGATATGACAGCTTCACCTTCCCTCAGCCCTGCCGCTGCTGGGCCGCACATCACCACGTCCCGCGGGGCTGCTGGGCCGCAGGGGGAGCGGCCGCCCCCGCCCCCGAGGCCGGCAGCCGTGATTTAGCGGAGCGACGAGGGCCCCGCGCCCTCGGAAAACCAATCTTGCTTCCCTCACTTCATCAGGCCTGTCTGGACCCGCGGGCGGGGCAGGAGGCGGGGCTGGAGGGGCTACCAGGTCGTCCTGCATCCCAGGACTGTGCCTTCCTGCCCTTCCTTGGACCAAAGAACTGCAGCCAACGCCATGAATCTCCATAAATTTCCCCCGAAGTCTTACCCAGGAGAGCAGAGAGGAGGAGGCCACGGAGCAGGGTGACCCCTTGGAAGGAGCAGGCATCAGGCCAGGGGGCGGGGGGCGGAGCGGGAAAGAGCCGGTGCCACCCCACCCCCTCCAGCAGGTGCCCTCCAGGTGCCCTGCTGCCCAGGCATCCTGGGCCCAGGAGCCACCAGAGTGGACACCAGCCAGCAGGGGGAGCACAGCAGGCCCCCCAGGGCAGGAAGGGACCTCAGTGTGGACAGATCCCCAACCTGGGCGTCAGGGTCAGCCCCGGGCCTCCTGGTCTGACCACGAGGGAGAAACAGGCTGTGGGGACTCCTCGCCCGGTGACCGGGGGCAGCGGGCTTGCAGAGCACAGCTTCGGCAGGGAGGGAGGGGGCTTCCTGGGGGACTGAGACGTCCCTTCTCCCGACGTCCACGGCCCCCCCCGCCCCTGCCAACAGGGCCCAGTCCCAGGAGACCCTCGTGACCCATGAGTCCATGTCAGTGGGACTTGGCCTGGCCGCACTCTCACCCACCCATGAAGCCCAGGAGGGAGCCTCTTTCCAGGATCCAGGTCAGTGGGGACGGTGGAGGCTGGTCGGGGGAGCAGGGGCCGGCACGGCCACGGGCAGCAACGCCTCCATCTTCTAGGCAGCCCGGGACTCGGGAGGCAGATGCCAGCACACTGACCTGTCTGTCCAGATGGAACCCACTTCCAGAGCTTTGAGGGGAAGTCAGAACCTCCACGGGTTAGGGCAGCACCGGGTTCTCCAAAGCCGGGTGCAGAGCACTTGGGAGCCTGTCCTCGGTGCCTCCACTGGGCGCAGCCACAACGTGGCATCTCCACAGGCCAGGAGGGTTGGCCCCGCCTGCCCCATCTCCTGCATTTGCCAATGCCCTGCAGGCGCAGGTGAGGGCCGGCCAGGCGTGTGGCCACCGGCTTCACCCCACGCCTCATGGCCCCCACCAGGTTTGTGCCCAGCAGGTGGTGCCAGGGATGGCCCGGGAGCCACCCCAGGAGGGGCTCTGGGAGCAGGGAGTGGGCGGGCGGGGCCTCAGGGCCCCCAATCACACTGCAAGGGGCTCCTAGGGTCCCCTCTTCCGGCCACTGCCCCAGTGAACAGGGCGTGCCTGGCGTGGCGGGGAGAGAGTCAGCATCTGAGCCTCATGGGGGATGAAGACTGGGCCATCCTGGCTCTTCCGGACAAACACAAAACCACCAGGGGCGTCAGGTGTGGAAGTCGGCCAGGAAACCCAGGGCGCTTTCCACTGCACCACGGAAAATGCTGGGGCGAAGCTGACCAGGACGGGGTCAGTGGCACAGCCCCCTCCCCGCCCAGAGCAGCGCCCTGGGCACAGAGACGCCCACATCCGCTCAGGGAGACCCGGGCGGGTATCAGGGCAGGGGAGGGCAGGCACATGAGGGGCAGCCCCTTTTTTCTGGGGGCTTACTTCATTGCCCATGGCTTCCAGCTCACCCGGCCCCCACCTCCCCAACTATGCATGAGCCTTTCGTCTCCCCAACTTCCAAGTGGAGGCCCCAGGCTCAGAGCCCCTGCACCGGGAAAACCCATCCAACCCACGGTCTTCAAGGCATGCAAAGCCCGACCACTGGGATCCGGGCCCCCTGCCCCAGAGCCCGTCCACATGCTCAGACAGTCTGCCGAGCAGCCGGCAGGCGCTGAAGCAGGCCCAGGCCGCTCAGGGACAGATTCGGTGCTCCCGGACTCTGGGTCCAGGGGGCAGACACAGAGGGCAGAAGGCCGACACTGAGCGCATCAAGCGCCCGAGGCGAGGATCCAGGGGCCAGAGGGCTGGGCCAGCCTGCGAGCTCCAGCCAGCCCACCAAGCTCATGCGTGGCTGCGTCCACCCTGAGGCCGGGCTGTCAGCCCATGAGGGCAGTCAGTGAGTTCCCAGGAGCAGGACGGGCGATGGGAGGCTGGGGCAAAGAAGAAGCAGATCTCCCAGAAGAAAACAGGCAGGCAGGGGACTGGCCAGTGGGCAGGGTCAGAGGGAGCAGAGCCGCCCAGGACGGCCAGTGGGGGATGCTCTGTCTCCTTAGCCCTGAGTGAACCACACGAGCCACCTGCTTCAGTGAGCGGCCACTCAGGATGGTCTTCGGGAGCAGGCAGAATTTAGTTATCATTTTAAGTCTAAAATCTGAGCTTCCAGCAGCTCCGGCTGGGACGGGAGGTGCTGCTCTGGCGCCACCTCCTGGTGAAGGCCAGGACCTGCAGGCCCCTGCTGAGCGGCTGCAAGCCCCAACCGAGCCCCGCCCTCCCAGAGCCCCTGCCAGGGCACAGCTCCCCCAGGCTGCACCCCAGAGTCCCCCGCCCCCAACCAGAGCCCCTCCCCCAGAGTGTCCCCGCCCCCCAACCGAGCCCCGCCCCCCAGAGGCTCCCCCGCAGGGCCCAGCTCCCCCAAGCTGCAGACCCCGCCTTCCTGCTGCTGAGGGCTCTGGGGCCCTCACCTCATGTTCATCACCAGGGGCAGCTGCAGGTTCGCCCCCTTTCTGGGAACAGGCTACTATTTTCTGATCCCTATTAATACCTGTGACAGCATTTATGTACAAGATAAATTCATTTCAATTTCCTTTTTCAATTAATGGCCTATTATTTGAACCACACTCAGCTAAAAATATTACTCCAACGCCATTAATCTTGTAAAAATTAAATTTCGCTCCCTCTGACAGGCAGAGGCCAGCAGGCTGGGGCGAGGGGGTGGCCACATGGCTGCCCAGTTCTGCCCAGAACCGCAGGGGCGCAGAGGTCCCTCCGCCAGGACGGCCAGAGGGTCCGGCAGAGGTGGCTCCACGCATGGCCCTGAGGGGGGAGGGGACGGGCACGCAGGGCCGGGGCCAGGCAGGCCTTCATCGCAGGTCGTTCCTGTATCGGGGGAGATGCTGACAAATGCACGCCTCCCCTGATGCAGAGTGTCTGGAGCGAGGTCCGGACCCGGGGTGTGGAGCTCTGCGGGCATTCCCGCCCGGGAGACGTGGCCACGCAGGACGGCGTCTGCAGGCAGTGGCGGGGTGAGGGAGGCAGGGAGCAGGGCCCCCACGCACCTCGGGCAGGTCTGGCCTCCGGCCTCGCCTCCAGACCCTATTGGGTCCCGCGGACCCTGGGAGACAGAGCCTCGGGGACCTCAGACCCGGGCTGTCCCCGTGTCCGGGCTGGGATCCAGTGTGGGGCCAGGCTTGCCCAAGAAGGCGCCACCCCGAGTGCCTTCCCGGGCTGAAACCAAGCAGGATGGCCCTGTGGCCATCAGAGTACTCGACAAGAGAGGGAAGGGCTGGCGGCTCTGATAGAGACGCCGCAGGTGTGAGAGGCCGAGACTCCGATGGTCCCTGGTCCCGGAAGAACAGGAGGGGCGTGGCCTCAACGCCCAACCAGATGGCAGGGTCTTCCGTGCGCGTCATCTGCAGCGGCTGCAGATTATTCCCAGGCGGCTCGCCCACAGTGTGAAAATGTCTAATTTTGCGTACTTAAAATTATTTCCAGTTTTCATTGGCAAATAATTTTTGATAACCTTCCTTACACACAACCGTCTGCACGGCCCTTCCTCCACGGAAGCTGCTGAGGGACGGGGATGCTCTGCTGCAGGTTCCTGTCTTCCATTGAAAATGGAGGAAGCCCTCTTTGAGATAAACCTCCAGGGATGAGGCACGACCACAGTGAAGCTGTCTCAGCCCCCAGGCGCCTGCACCGTGAACCATTCCTCACCCTGCCAAGCACCTGGCTGGAGGAGGAGCGCAGCTATTGCATCAGCACGGCACGACAGGTGCCTCCGAGCAGAGCAGAGAGCTCGGGAACTGAGCCTTTCCAGGAACTACGGAGACTTCCAAAGGCTGTGTGAAACAGACAGGTGGACGGGCGGCGGGCACTCCCGGCCTTCCTGAGGCCACGGCCTCTGTGCCCGAGAACCAAGGCCCCGTCCACCGAGGAGCTGATTGACGCCACTCTTCACGAGACGGGGACCCTCGAGGCGGTGACAGCCACCCAGAGCTGCCCAGCTCTGCACCCCGAGACGCCCACGTGTCCCCGCCCCCAGCACACCCCTGGCCGTCACGCCAGCGGGGGCTGCTGTCCGTGGTCCCCCCACCGTCATGTGGAACTCACGCATGGCCCATGCCCGGGGCAGGGCAGCCCGCTGTGTAGGGGACGGCAGGGCCCACGGGCCCCCGCGCTGAGGAGGAGCACGCTCACCGTGAAGTGCTCCTGGGACTTGTAGTTCTCGTCCAGGTAGACCCGCGCCCGATTGTACTCCTTCATCGCGTCGCTGGAGAGCAGCTCCCTGGAAGGAAGAGGGACGTCTTTACACACGTCACGCAGGCAGCTCCTGGTTCCACAGGAGCGCTTACGGGGGCAGGAAAGGCCGCCTGGAAACCATGGGGCGCGGGGGAGCGGGGAAGGAAGTGGGGAAGGCCCATCTCTAAGACGTGGCTGGAGTGCAGCCGCCACGCACGCCCGGGGTCTGTGATGGCTCTGGACGGATGGGGGTGCCTGACCCCCCCGAGGGCTGTACCCCGACACTGCTCAGCAAGGGGAGGGGACACGGGTGCCCCTGGCCTTCCACCCGGGGCGGGGAGAAGAGGCGCCAGCTCTGGGAGGTGAAGGCGAGCAAGCAGGAAGGAGCGGGGAGGAAGGCTGGGAGGACGAGCCTTGAGAGGGTCAAGCTAGCGCCCGAGCCCCAGCCACCTGCCAGACAAGCCCCAGTGTGCCCGCGGGTAGAGGCAGGGTGTGGGCACGACACCCCGCAAATCAGCATGCCGAGAAGCGGCAAACAGGACCCGTGCCCCACAAGAAAGTCAACAGAAACAGACCCTGAAAGGACAAAAGCGATGCAGTTCACTGAAAAGAGACTTGAAAGAGCTACTATAAATATAACCAAAGATTTAAAGGGAAATGTGGACAGAGTAGTAAGGAAAATATGCACACAAATGGTACTTCTAGAGCTAAAATTACAGTACCAGAAGTAAATTCACTGGATGGACCTCAGAGCAGATTAAAATGTAAAAAAAAAAAAAAAAAAAAGGATAGGTTAGTGACTAAAAGACAGGACTATTCAAACTGAAGCAAAGAAGAAAAATATGAACTGGAAAAATCTGAAAGAGCTGGACTGTGTGACAGTCTAGCATCAGAAGTGGGAGTCGGAGAACAAAGAGAAAGGAAGCAACAACCCAAATGCTTTCCTGAAGTTTCAGTGAAATTATGAACCGACAGGTTGGAAAAGCTCAAAGAACTCCCAGCAAAAGAAACACAAAGAAAACACAAGACAATCAAGTTGCTACGCACGAGCTAGAAAGACAAACTTCGAGTCGGGGGGAAAAGACACAGTATATACAGAAGATGAAGACCAGAACAACGGCCAACTCTGCTGAGGAACAAGGCCGCACAGAGGACAATGGGACAGTATACTTAAAGTGCTGAAGGGGAAAATGGACAAGCGCGAATTCTGTTTACAACAGAAACATCTTTCAAAGACGAAGACAAAGACTTCCTTCAGACAAACAAAAGCTGAGATAATTGATCAGCAGCAACTTGCGTTGAAATAAACGTTAACGTTCTCAGGTTGGAGGAAGATGGTGCGAGAGAAAGCTGACGGCGCAGACAAGGCCGTGCCCTGGGGGCGGCAGGTGGCCACACAGGGGACGTGTCCCTGCTCTTTTTAACCTCTGGGAAAGGTAGGCGGCTGGTTCAGAGCAAAGACAGCAACACACGTGTTACGCACAACTTGGGCAGGAATAAAGCGTCTCTAACAACAGCAGGACGATGGCAGGGGGCAGGAGCGTGTGATGGCGTGGGCATGGAGGTGAGACCCTGCAGCCACGTCTGCTCATCTCTGAAATGCCTGGCGTCCCCAAAAGTGTCCTCTTCTCGTTGACTAACTAGAGTTCTTCAGACATTTAAATACTGACCATTTTTGTCAGTCAAGTACACTGCAGATACCTTTTCCCAAGTGTGGCTAAACTGTGACTTTGTCTGTGGTGTCTTTGGATGAAGACTTCAATGTCACCACGGTCCAATGTGTCCGTCTTCCCTCTGTTGGACCCGCACACCTTCTGACGAAGCCTCTGCCCGGATGCTCTCCTGCACTTCACCCTCGCACCACCGGACCACCGGACCACCCCGAGGCCTCTCGCCCTGGCTCTGGCACAACTGGAGCTCAGCCCGGGAAGGCGGGGCCGGGGGAAGGGGGACAGGACGGACGGGCGGGGGGACCAGCTCATGGCTTCCTAGCCCAGGGCCCCCCAGTGCCCTCCCAACCCAGACGCCACTGGCCACACCCGGGGGCGACGCGCGGGGCCCTGCACAGCCCACCAGGTGTCGCCCCGCGCCCACACACGGGGGACTCGGGCCGGGGCAGTGAGGACGCCCGCCTCGCTCTGCTCCAGGATTACTGTGGCGAGCCCTGGCCCTCTGCTTCTTTACGCTGACTTTAGTATTGGTTTCGGTGCTAAGAAAACACTTTGATTGAAACTGCTTTAAGTTATAGGTTGTCTGGGGAACATTTGGGAGTTTTTAACATCCGTCACTGACAGCTGAAAACAGGGATGCCTTGTGCCCACCCACAGGGGACTGAGGCCAGTGATGGCTGCTGGGCCCGGCCTCGGGCTGAGGCCGGGCTGGGCACCCCCACAGCGGCCTCGGGGGCGTCACCTCCCCCTCCACCAGTGGAGGCTGCCACAGCGCCTGGGGTCTGGGTCACGCGCAGCAGAGAGGGCGCCTGCCGTCCGGCCCGCTCCTGCCCACCCCCGCGTCCAGCCCCCAGGTCCGCGTCCCTGTTCCCGGGCGGCGCCGCGCGACTCTGGGTAGGCCTGACGCCCGCAGAGCCACAGGGCACGCCTTCCACGGACAGCGGAGCTCTGTGCCCGCCCCACTGCGACCAGCGAGCTGTGAGCTTCTGAGTGGACACCCGGCCCATCCGTCCACCTGTCCTCAGCAGCAGCAGTCCACACAGCCATCAGGCCATAGGACGGACTCTCAGCCTGGACCTGGGGCTGACGTTTCTGAGCCCAGAGGTTCCACTGCCTGGAACCCCGGGGGGTGCAGCCACCCCGTCACTCCCCCACCCCCCATGCCCGGGCCATGCCCCCTCTTGGGCAAGGCACCCCAACCCGGGCCTGGCCCTCAGTGGGGCTTGCCCCTCGTCCCCAGCCACGCCCACCCCAGGAGGAGGTGGAGGCCAGGCAGTCGCCCCCAGACTTACTTGACGAACTTGTCCACGTGCGACATGGACGCTTCATAGTTCTTCCCTCCGAACTCCTGGCAGTGCAGGGCCAGGAAGTGTGGCCTATGAGCGTGGACGACCTGCAGAAGAAAGGCAGGCGTCAGGGTGGCCCCCGACCCTGGGGCATGGCCCTCAGGGAGCTCCCCGTCTCTCAGGAATGCTGGCATCTCCCTGACCCCGATAGGCGGTCCCACGTCGGCCACAGAGCAGTGGGCAGGGCCAGGAGGACAGCCGTCCTGACGCTGCCGTGGCCCTGCGGGGATGTGAGTGCACGCGTGTCGTATGCGTGTGTCGGCGCTGTGCACACATGTGTGCATGTGTCCCACCATCTAGGAGGGAGCAGGGCTCCCCCGGTGGCTCAGACAGAGAAGAATCCGCCTGCCACACAGGAGACCTGGGTTCAATCCCTGGGCTGGGCAGATGCCCTGGAGAAGCGAATGGTGACCCACCCGTGTTCTTCCCTGGAGAATCCATGGACACAGGGGCCTGGGGGGCTAGAGTCCACGGGGTCACAGACAGTCAGACACGACTGAGCGACGGGCACGCACAGGAGGAGCAGAGCTGGCCGCGAGGGCGGGCGCTGTCTCACGCCCGGCTGCCCGACTAGCCCTCGAGCCCCAGCCCAGCCCCTGGGGAGGTGGGCGCGGCTGCGGCGGTCAGCGGTCAGCGGGACTGGGTGCACCCAGGCATGGGCAGGCGGCAGAGCCGGCGGGCCCACTCCTCCGGTCGCGGCTCGCCCCCCAGCCCCCAGGGCCAGGCCTGCGGCGTCTCCCTGGTCACCAGGGTCCCCCCAGGCTCCAGCCAGACTGGCCCCAAGGCGGCACCCAGCCGGGCCTCCCTCCTGTCACTCGAACTCGACCACGGAGTCCTCCTCGGAGCTGCGGCCATGCAGCCTGGCGGCTCTGCGGGGAGCATGAGAGGGCCGTCCTGGGGGGAAGCCGACCTCATGGGGAGCCGTCCTGAGGGGGAGAGCTGTCCTGAGAGAGCCGTCCTGAAGGAGAGAGCCGTCCTGAGGGGGAGAGCCGTCCTGAGGGGGAGAGCCGTCCTGAGGGGGAGAGCCGTCCTGAGGGGAGCCGTCCTGAGGGGGAGAGCCGTCCTGAGGGGGAGAGCCGTCCTGAGGGGGAGAGCTGTCCTGAGGGGGAGAGCCGTCCTGAGGGGGAGCTGTCCTGAGGGGGAGAGCCGTCCTGAGGGGGAGCTGTCCTGAGGGGGAGAGCTGTCCTGAGGGGGAGAGCCGTCCTGAGGGGGAGCTGTCCTGAGGGGGAGAGCCGTCCTGAGGGGGAGAGCCGTCCTGAGGGGGAGAGCCGTCCTGAGGGGAGCCGTCCTGAGGGGGAGAGCTGTCCTGAGGGGGAGAGCCGTCCTGAGGGGGAGAGCCGTCCTGAGGGGGAGAGCTGTCCTGAGGGGAGCCGTCCTGAGGGGGAGAGCCGTCCTGAGCGGGAGAGCCGTCCTGAGGGGGAGAGCCGTCCTGAGGGGGAGAGCTGTCCTGAGGGGGAGAGCTGTCCTGAGGGGGAGCTGTCCTGAGGGGGAGAGCTGTCCTGAGGGGGAGAGCTGTCCTGAGGGGGAGAGCCGTCCTGAGGGGGAGAGCTGTCCTGAGAGAGCCGTCCTGAGGGGAAGAGCTGTCCTGAGGGGAGCCGTCCTGAGGGGGAGAGCCGTCCTGAGGGGGAGAGCCGTCCTGAGGGGGAGAGCTGTCCTGAGAGAGCCGTCCTGAGGGGAAGAGCTGTCCTGAGGGGAGCCGTCCTGAGCGGGAGAGCCGTCCTGAGGGGGAGAGCCGTCCTGAGGGGGAGAGCTGTCCTGAGGGGGAGAGCTGTCCTGAGGGGGAGCTGTCCTGAGGGGGAGAGCTGTCCTGAGGGGGAGAGCTGTCCTGAGGGGGAGAGCCGTCCTGAGGGGGAGAGCTGTCCTGAGAGAGCCGTCCTGAGGGGAAGAGCTGTCCTGAGGGGAGCCGTCCTGAGGGGGAGAGCCGTCCTGAGGGGGAGAGCCGTCCTGAGGGGGAGAGCTGTCCTGAGGGGAGCCGTCCTGAGGGGGAGAGCCGTCCTGAGGGGGAGAGCTGTCCTGAGGGGGAGAGCTGTCCTGAGGGGGAGAGCCGTCCTGAGGGGGAGCTGTCCTGAGGGGGAGAGCTGTCCTGAGGGGGAGAGCTGTCCTGAGGGGGGAGCCGTCCTGAGGGGGAGAGCTGTCCTGAGGGGAGCCGTCCTGAGGGGGAGAGCTGTCCTGAGGGGGAGAGCTGTCCTGAGGGGGAGAGCCGTCCTGAGGGGGAGCTGTCCTGAGGGGGAGAGCTGTCCTGAGGGGGAGAGCTGTCCTGAGGGGGGAGCCGTCCTGAGGGGGAGAGCTGTCCTGAGAGAGCCGTCCTGAGGGGAAGAGCTGTCCTGAGGGGAGCCGTCCTGAGGGGGAGAGCCGTCCTGAGGGGGAGAGCCGTCCTGAGGGGGAGAGCTGTCCTGAGGGGGAGAGCTGTCCTGAGAGAGCCGTCCTGAGGGGGAGAGCTGTCCTGAGGGGAGCCGTCCTGAGGGGGAGAGCCGTCCTGAAGGGGATAGCCGTCCTGAGGGGGAGAGCTGTCCTGAGGGGGAGCTGTCCTGAGGGGGAGAGCCGTCCTGAGGGGGAGAGCTGTCCTGAGGGGGAGAGCTGTCCTGAGGGGGGAGCCGTCCTGAGGGGGAGAGCTGTCCTGAGGGGGAGAGCTGTCCTGAGGGGAGCCGTCCTGAGGGGGAGAGCCGTCCTGAGGGGGAGAGCCGTCCTGAGGGGGAGAGCTGTCCTGAGGGGGAGAGCTGTCCTGAGGGGGGAGCCGTCCTGAGGGGGAGAGCTGTCCTGAGGGGGAGAGCTGTCCTGAGGGGGAGAGCCGTCCTGAGGGGCAGAGCTGTCCTGAGAGAGCCGTCCTGAGGGGGAGAGCTGTCCTGAGAGAGCCGTCCTGAGGGGGAGAGCTGTCCTGAGGGGGAGAGCCGTCCTGAGGGGGAGAGCTGTCCTGAGGGGGAGAGCTGTCCTGAGGGGAGCCGTCCTGAGGGGGAGAGCTGTCCTGAGGGGGAGAGCTGTCCTGAGGGGAGCCGTCCTGAGGGGGAGAGCCGTCCTGAGGGGGAGAGCTGTCCTGAGGGGGAGAGCTGTCCTGAGGGGAGCCGTCCTGAGGGGGAGAGCCGTCCTGAGGGGGAGAGCTGTCCTGAGGGGGAGAGCTGTCCTGAGGGGAGCCGTCCTGAGGGGGAGAGCCGTCCTGAGCGGGAGAGCCGTCCTGAGGGGGAGAGCTGTCCTGAGAGAGCCGTCCTGAGGGGGAGAGCTGTCCTGAGGGGAGCCGTCCTGAGGGGGAGAGCCGTCCTGAAGGGGATAGCCGTCCTGAGGGGGAGAGCTGTCCTGAGGGGGAGAGCTGTCCTGAGGGGAGACGTCCTGAGGGGGAGAGCCGTCCTGAGGGGGAGAGCCGTCCTGAGGGGGAGAGCTGTCCTGAAGGGGAGAGCCGTCCTGAGGGGGAGCTGTCCTGAGGGGGAGAGCTGTCCTGAGGGGGAGAGCTGTCCTGAGGGGGGAGAGCCGTCCTGAAGGGGATAGCCGTCCTGAGGGGGAGCTGTCCTGAGAGAGCCGTCCTGAGGGGGAGAGCCGTCCTGAGGGGGAGAGCTGTCCTGAGGGGGAGAGCTGTCCTGAGAGAGCCGTCCTGAGGGGGAGAGCTGTCCTGAGGGGGAGAGCCGTCCTGAGGGGGAGAGCTGTCCTGAGAGAGCCGTCCTGAGGGGGAGAGCTGTCCTGAGGGGGAGAGCCGTCCTGAGGGGGAGAGCTGTCCTGAGAGAGCCGTCCTGAGGGGGATAGCTGTCCTGAGGGGGAGAGCCGTCCTGAGGGGGAGAGCTGTCCTGAGGGGGAGAGCTGTCCTGAGGGGAGCCATCCTGAGGGGGAGAGCCATCCTGAGGGGGAGAGCTGTCCTGAGGGGGAGAGCTGTCCTGAGGGGAGCCGTCCTGAGGGGGAGAGCTGTCCTGAGAGAGCCGTCCTGAGGGGGAGAGCTGTCCTGAGGGGGAGAGCCGTCCTGAGGGGGAGAGCTGTCCTGAGGGGGAGAGCTGTCCTGAGGGGGAGAGCCGTCCTGAGGGGGAGAGCTGTCCTGAGGGGGAGAGCTGTCCTGAGGGGGAGAGCTGTCCTGAGGGGAGCCGTCCTGAGGGGGAGAGCCGTCCTGAGGGGAGCCGTCCTGAGGGGGAGAGCCGTCCTGAGGGGAGCCGTCCTGAGGGCGAGAGCTGTCCTGAGGGGAGCCGTCCTGACGGGGAGAGCCATCCTGAGGGGGAGAGCCATCCTGAGGGGGAGAGCTGTCCTGAGGGGGAGTCGTCCTGAGGGGGAGAGCTGTCCTAAGGGGAGCCGTCCTGAGGGGGAGAGCCATCCAGCGGCCCGGCCGCCCTGCAGCCCGCCCTGCATGGGGTCCTGACACGGGCGACGGCCCGGACCCGCGTCTCCCCTGGGCCCTGAAACAGGCTGGGCGTCGGGAGCGACCCTCGGGTCACCCGGGCAGGTGTGGACCCACATGGCTCACGAGGGGACCTGGAGGCCGCGGCCCCACGCCCCGGGGCTGGGGGCATGGGCAGCGGTGCCAGGACGTCCACTGCGGGGGCAGCGGCCAGGGTGAGGCCCCCGGGAGACGGCCAGGGCAGGGTGGCTGAGACGGACAGCAAGGGTGGTGCTGGAGCAGCAGTGGGGCCCCGGCCGTCCACACCCGTCCCCTGGCCATCCTCCGCTCTGCGCCTCCCTTGGCGCGGTGACACGGCTGGCCCTGCAGAGCCCGCCCTGGCCTCCCCCGCCCACCATCCCAGCGGCGGGCGACCCACGCGCAGGGCCACAGTGTCGCTTCCCACGCTGCCTGCACCCAGCCTCGGCCACCGCGTCCTGCCCAGAGGTCAGCGAGCAGTGGGCAGACGGGCCGCGGTCCATGGGCTGAGACAGCTCCTCTGGGCACAAGGGCAGTGAGGTGCCCGACGGGAAGGGGCTGCACCCGGGGCTCAGCCAGCTGACCAGAGAGTGGGCTGGGGGGAAGGGACATGGGCCAGGCCCTGGAGCGGAGTGCAGAGTGCCAGGCGGGCAGGAGGGAGCCCCGCTCAGCGGCAGCTGCCCCTGACCCAAGATGGCGGGCAGCATGTCCAGCTTCAGGGAG